AGAGAGATTTTTCCGGATAAGGTCCGAGAACCAGCGAATAGAGATGAAGTACTACACCAGCCTACTTTTTGCAACCAATGGGTGAAGGACCAGACAGGGGAAACCATGGACACTCACGACACGGGACACCCGCTGGATTACCTGGTTAGAACATGGAGTGTGGCAGATCAAACATCTCTGGAACCACCAATGCAACAGATGGAAGACACTCACAGAACTCAAAGGGGCATGCAAAGGGTGTTATGGACTGCAAACAACCTTAACGACATGCTCACATAAATTCCTCCAGAGTGGCAACAACTGCTTCAAAGACCGACGGAATGGAAGAAAGGAGACTGGGCGACTTGGTCCTGGGAGAATCCGCCAACAGAGGTGATGTCCTACGTCAGAAAGGAAGGTCCCTCAGACCAGTGGGCTCTCTGGACCATGCACGACATTGAACAACCAGACCGCACAGTCAGCACAGTATCCCAAGTCGTCCGAGCCAGGATCTCAGCCAAACCACAGCTACTCAAAAGGTAAGGGCGATCGAGGACGAACAGTGTAGAATCTACACAGCGACAACAACCATCCAAGATTTAGAATTCGACCCGGAACAGTGGCCTGGAAAATGTCTTCCACAGCCTCAATGGTGTCTTGCCGCACCAATATCCTGGATTACTCCACCAGGCTGGGCTACAAGCTGAGAAGACGTCCAGTCAACACACCACAGATACTCACGCAACGCTGGACAAACACCTCGCCGGGAGAACCGGAAGCCACACCACAAATATCTTGGCAAGTGCCTCTGTCCATCAGGAACACGAAAGTCAGGAGCATGCAGTGGCTGATCTACTACTTCGCTCTACCAGTCAATCAATGGATCAGCAAACGACGATCTCCAGCAGCTTGAGTCGACTTCGACGAAATCTGTGCGCTCTGTGAAGAGGATACTCCAGAAGACCTCCCACACTGCCTATTGACCTGCGAGTCAGCGGCCCAACTAAGGGCCAGGGCGGCCAATCTTTGGGAAGCAGCCACATCGATCCCCCTCCCAGATGACCCGTTGCTCACACTCACAGGTCTCAAGGAACCGCGAATGCCAGCGAGGTGGCAACACACATTGTACCGGAGACTTCGTCCTCTCACACTATGGGCAATCTGGAAGAAGCGCTGCAAACAAACAATTGCCAAACAACCTGTGACACTGACAGAAGCATGGGAAGGCCTCATACAAACTCTCCTCACCGAGTATCACCTAGATTGGCGCCGCACCAAGAAGCGGATACGAGAAGACCCGACCAAACAACAAGACATTATTGACAACTTCAAAAGAGACGTGCTGGGCGATGGTAAGTTGGGGACCATAATGGGTAACACCCTCAGACTTCCCTGGTGCACCCTGGTGAGTCAACAACCCCACGTGGACCGTGTGTCGACAGCCTCCCAAACACCCTCAGGCGCAGAACAGACCCTTGGCAGCATGTGAATCATCTAAGAAAGCGTGTGACTCAGGAGAACCGCGCTCTAGCCAAACACGCCGATTTGACAGCCTCCCAGCTGAGAGGAGCAGGCTTAGACCAGGTCGCAAAGGACCCAGGGTTGTTAAAAAGGGCCTAGGCACAGCAGGAGGGTCCCCACAGGAGAGGCAGAGCTCGAGCAGCAGGCAGGAACGTCAACCTGACAGCCTTCCAACTCCAAGGAGTGGGCTTGGACCTCATCACAGAGGACTTAGGGTTGTTAAAAAAGGGCCTTTACACAGTAGGAGGGTCCCCACAGGAGAGGCAGACATCAAGTAGCAGGCAGGGGGAAGAACGGGGTTTAGGGTTTTAGAAGAGAAAACTCAAACTGATTTCCAGGTTGAGTAAGTAGCTTTTGGTTGGCTTTCATCACCTGTATCCCCTTCTGTAGCTGAGTTCCCGCAGGGCCGTCTTTGAAAATTAGGTGGAGGATTAGCTAGGGGAGATCCCCGAAGCATGGGACACTGGACCCGTTTTCCAGTAAAAGCCCAAGCTGGGTATTGGCCTCATTACTCCGGGTTGAGAGGTGGAGGGATTCCCGGCCTCCTTTTGCTGATATATATAAATGAAATCAACCTTTTCACAAAAAATAAAAAATAAAAAATAAAAAATAAGAGAGCATCAAAAAATAAAACAAGTTGGATTGTCAAGGCGCCGGCGCCTTCCGGTAAGCGCTACTCCGCCCACCCACGCCCCCCATGAAGGAACTGGAGGCCATCGCGAGCAAGTCTGAAAGATGAAGCTCTGAGACCCCGCCATAGCCCCGCGGACACCCGAAGTCGTCCCCACACGCGCGCCCACGCGGCGCGCGCGCCTATCGCCAAGCCACGTATATTCATGCTTCGCAAAGCTACGTGGACGGGTTCACGGGGAATGGGAGAAGACCTAGGGGGAGCGCAGTGAACCTCGAAGACGCAAGACACTTTCAACGCGAAAAGGCTCCTACGAATGTGTGCCTGACCAGAAGAAAGAAACGAAGATTTAAGCCGCTACCGCAACGGAGAGCCACCATAGTCAAGTGAGAGTACTAACTTCTCCCTCCCGCCACTCTGAGTGCTAACCCGACCTCGACCCCCCCCCCCTCCTGATTGCGCTGAAACTCCAGCCCCGGACCCGACGCCGGGCACTATCCCGGTCCAGATCCTCACCCCGATCCCGTACCATCCCGCTCCCTCTTCTCATCCCGATCTCCCTTCTCCCGACCTCAGTCTATCCTGATCCCGTTTCCTACCCCGACGCTGATTCCCCCGATCCCCCCCCCCCCCCAA